GGCCGCATGCCGCCTGCCTGTAAACGTTCCGTGGTTATTCAAAAAAGGAATGTTAAGAATAAGCAATTTTTGCGAAAACTCGTAATCCGTATCTTTAAAATGACTCATATCTAAATTATGAATTTCCCCGACGTGCGAAAGACATAACTGGAAATGTGGGTCAACATTATTGACATAAAATTGCACATAATGTTGATTTATTGCTGAAAATGTCAAGTGTGTTCGGTCGTGTTTGGCCGCGTATATAAATATTGATGAACATGTCTAAATAATGTATCTGAGGCTTTTCACGTGAGTGGATTTAGGGTGAGTCCTAAAACGCATGGAAATGTTTAATATAAATGGGATTTTCACAAAAAAACTACCATTATGAAACTCCGGTCGATAAAAGATAAATATATGAAATACGGCCTAATAAAGAACCACAATAAAATGTTAATAAGTTTTATTAACTGTTGCTTTATAGATTACCAAAGATTCATAAAGCGCAGCGAAAGCTCTTACAAATATTGTAAATTATTCAGCGAAGTGGTTTTCCTTAAATTAAAGCTACATCGGCGGCGTTATTATACACGATTAAGATTAGGGAAATAACTTTGCATTAAACCAATTGGCCTCTGAGGAATTTTCGCATTTTCCACGGTTCCTCTTTACTTCCTCTTCATAAACAACAGATAATTTTTATATTAACCGATACAAAATACCAGTTAAGTAAAATTTTCCAAAACTGTAATCAGAAGAAATTACCCATTAAATTAATGGGCCGAATAAGGTAAAATTTCGCTCCATCGGCCAAAGAGTGATCATTCAGCGTCACATTCCCAACTCCTGGATAATGACTGTCGATAAATTTCGACCTCATTAGTCCAGCAGAGGTCAATAAATGTTTCGAAGTCGCAGTTAATTTCAGGCAAACGTGAAGCCAAATTAACAATTTTGGAATGCACGCAATTTCCATAAAGGGTTGTGCAACAGCCACGAAGAGATTGGCAAAATTAGTAATTGATTGCGAAGCTAAAATCCACTTTCTGTAGTGTGAGAACAGAAGAAAAATAATTAAATTTTGCAATGTGGATGTGATTTTTTAAAGTTCCTTAGAAGAAGTGAGTTGTTTCCAATCGACTTTGCCCTATTTTTTCATTTTTTATTGTTTGAGTGAGTGAGTTGGAGACTCGAAACTCTGGCAAATCTACCAACATTTTAATCTTAAGTACTAAAGATGTTGAAGGCTCATCAAGAAGGATCAAGAGGCAAAAATATCGATTTTTTCTTGCAAAATAATGTGCGCAAAAAAACTCAATCTTCGCCGCTAGATGCTAATTATAAACTTTTCTGTGGCAAAAATCGTTATTTCTTAAGAACATTTTAGACAGTCAAATGCGAGTGCAACCGGCAAATTGACAAAGTTGACAAGTTTTGGCTTGAGGACATACTAAAACTTTGCGTTATTTTTCCATGCAAAAATATATGCCGCTTGCTGGTTCTCCATATTACAAATATTACATTTTTACAACGTGAGAAGCATTTTAAAAGCTTCTGTGTTTTGCATGGTAAATAAAGATTATAGTAACAAAAATTACAAAAAGAATGAAGTTATTTTCCGCTGAAACAAACAAATTTCACTTACAGACCATTTCTTGGTGCGTCACCGCACTTATCATCCTCCCTCTAATTTGAGAAAACTAGAGGCCTACAGTGTATAAAATTTTTATCGTCCAATCTAAGAAGTCGATCTCAATTTTATGGATGTACCCTGTAATGGCACTCTCGAAGAGGGAATTGAATTTTATTAATCTAATGTGCGTAAAAGGCCAATTTTGGGGGACGGTTTATGGACACATTGCTGGCCTGTCAATAGTGGTTAAAGATCCATTTATGTTACTAGGATAGGAAATATTTTGCACAAGTTTAAAAGCAGACTTCCATTTTGCTGACGCAAGAAACTCTTTTAAGCCCAGAAGAACCGAAATCTTCACTTAGGCTCGAGAAAAAAATTCGGAAGCAACTTTCTCGAAAAATCTTCGTTCAAGTCAGCGAATCTGATACGACTGGCAAAACATATTTTACAGTTACTTGATTGATATAAAGCCTGTTTAATTGAAATAATTTCCACTTTGAAGTCGAAAATTAACGTTTTCGGCAACTCATTAACTGCCTTAATTTGAGTATATTGTAAATTGCTTTTATTTGATTTGCGGGATGCTTCAGAGCCTCAATGTTGTGCAATTAAATTGCTCTCGCTTAATTAAACAATATTTTTCAAATTAATCAAACAGCTGAATAATAAACTATCTAACACACTTAACTTTTGTTACACTGGCCGAAGGCATTTGATCTTCAAACAATGTTTTGCAATGGAATTCAAACTGGGAAACAAACTGGAAAGTTATAAATGAACTGGACTATGAAACTAATTTGCATTTGCAAATGTTCCTCAACAGTCATTCAGCCCTACAAGTTTGAGGGAATTGGTGTGGATTCACTTGAAACAGCGCAAAAGCGTCTACAAAACTCAAATTGAGAGTAGGATTTTCGCTTGGAAAGTGGGCGAACGGTCGTAAATATCTCTCAGCATCGCATTTCTTTCAATCTGTTTGTTTTCGTATTTTCATATATTTCGTTGCAACAATCCAAAGTCAGAGAACTTTCAAAGCGCATTTGCATGATTATAAATGCAATTTATTTTCTTTTGGAGGAAAATTGTCACATTAGCTGCTCTTAGGTGTATACTATTAATAACAATTTAAACACCAATAGCTGGCCAAACCCAAGCAATTTGCTTTTGGGCGAAAGTGCGACAATAAATTTCCACAAAGTTTTTGCTTACGCCGGTGTAAAATTCCTTTAAATAAAATAAGAAACTAAACTGAAATTGTTAAACTGAGCGTTCGTTCAATCGTAGCTTTCTTTGCCTAGATGCGGAAAAGGCAGACAGTTGAATCCGGGGTTTGAGTAAATTCACAAAATCTGTTCGGGAAAAATGCAATTTCAATGTTTTGGCTACTGGAAAGTTTAAGTTTGGAGAATTCATATTCGAAATAAACTGAACTCTTTTAACAGTAATTATAATGATAAAAAGCTGGATAAAAAACGGAAACTTCGCCAGCTTTCAATTTTGGAAGTAAAATAAACACGGTTTTATTAAAAACTAGGTACGATTAGTATTTGGATGGAGATTGGTTCCGTAATTTGAAAAACTTCAAATTGGATATATTTGTAACAAAAAACAAAAAAAGTTCTCAAATACGCGTTGAAAAATGCAAAAACACCGAAACTACTTACAAAACAGTATATTGTTATAAACTTTTTGTGCTGCCAACAATTTAAATTGACAGAATAATATAATTCAATATTAATACACAACAGGCAAATATTATGAAAGACAGAAGAATCTGGGGCAAAAATAGTTGGTGATGGTTTTTGAATACGAATTTTCGGTGAATTGAAACGATTTTAAAAACACACTTTGCAATTGTAAATGTATTTCTATTTAACTATGTTTGACTTCCAAAGGGCAAAGACGGACATAATTTTTTTTCATAGTTTTCAACATTCGCTTTGTCCATAAGATTTGTTTAAATGTTTCTGTGGCAAGAAAGCAGGTTTTAATTTAATTTGAATCCAAAAATAAATTCAAGCGTGTACTCAATTTTCCATTGGAAACATATCACAAAAATTTCCAGGGTACAATGCATCAAAATTAAAAACACTAAAACAGTTCTCCATAAATTAATAAAATTCAAAATAAAATAAATATAATTTGCAGTTGAATAAACAGCGTCATTTGAGCGTATGTAGAAAAGCTGGGATTTTTATACAGCAGTTGCGTCGAGATTTTAAGCAATAAGCATAATAAACATAAAATAAATCCACATTGGTTTAACACTGGTACTAAATGAGAAGATTCAGTTAAAAACACGTTCTTGGTAAAACAGCAGGATTTTTTCCTGGACTTCGAATTAAAGCCGCAAAAAACTGGGGAATATACGGAACAAGACTATGAAGTAAAATAAAATGATTAATATGAACGATTACCATTCGGGTGGCATTTTCCAGAAGAGAAAACTTACGCATTTGATACAAGCACGAACAAGTTCGCTCTCTCCTCTCAAAAGAACAAACTCCCATCATTTTTCTTTTGTCCGTATTTTGCTTGAATTAACTTTGCCTTGGTTTAAAATATTCGGCAATATTCCGCAGAAAACGACTTACTGCGTTAATTCGCGTACTGCTCCAGATTACGCACGAAGCCCCATATTTCTGATATTAAACTTGATAAGAAGCACTAATCAAATTACGACATGAAATAAAATCAACGATACAATTTTTCGTCTATTTAATTTGTTTTTTGTTTTAAAAAACAAAGAAACTAACAATCTTTCAGCCAAGAATGCCAGTGAAGGCTGGAGAAAAATCTCCATTTACGACCACCAAAATTAAAGAAAAGTTGAAAAAACTAATGAATCCTCCTAAATGGAAAAATCACGGTTGCTATTCCTGAAAAACCGTCACATCCCACTTGCTAACACAGTGTTAACAAGTGCGTTTTGTTAACTCAATACACGTATATTTTACAAAGCAATCCTCTATTCAATTACTGGCAATTTTTTCATTCTCCTGTCCTGTATTCCATGCCATTCATTAAAATCCAGCACAAGAGATGTGGTTGATTAGATTATGAAATTGCCAGACATATTCCAGTTGCATTTTTGCATCACAAATATTGGAGTTGATAGGAAATACGAACGTAATTAGCTTGATTCAAATGGCGAGTTTTTTCCAGCTTATTTATAGGTTTAGTGGCAATTTGGGAATAAGCCCATCAAAATGAAATTTCATGGAGGTTCGAAGCTACGTAAATTAATTAATGCAATAACAATTTTTAATTTCAATCAAACATATTTTAATTCGAGAAGGAATTTTAGCACGAAAATTGATAATTATCATACATTTGAAGTCAACAATTTCGCAAAACCCTAAAAGAAACTCATGAAACTCACCCCCGCTGAAGTTTGTAGAAAGTTCCAAAACCACATAAAACAACACAAACTCAACCAGTCAAAAGGCCTTCGAGGCTAATCAGGCTTTAATTACATGACTTAAGGAGAAACTTATGGAAACTTGGGAATTTTGAAAAAACTTGCCCGACACGTCGGGTGCGCTTCGAGCGTTTAATCCGCGAAAATGTGCGTTTCACTCCGGGTTTTCGAGCGAAATGAGTTGTTATTGCGACCGCTTTGATTTTCCGGCAAACAGGTGGCAAAATTGCGCCGATCGGCCACGCAGTTTCCATGTTCTTCTGCTATTTGTCGACAGTTTAATTGTTGCCTCCCTGTTAAGTTTGGGTGGATGGTAGTCTGATCTCTTGGTGGTTAACCATCAGCCCATTCAGAGCAAGTGAAAATGGAAGGAAATCGATTACGGCACCATTTTTCGCAACTAGACTTCTCTCAGAATTAACATAAGGAAAGTGCTATTAAACTATCAGATCAATCATTCGCAATAGTCCAATTCTGGGCTAAAAGTGTTTCTATTCCAAACCAAAGTTCCATCATTCATTTCATGGTTTTGGGTCTAATGGCGCAAATCACCAATAGAGAAAGAGTCTTGAAACTTCTGGATGGCTCAAAGGACCATTCACAAAAAACTGATTCAAACCCTTTTATAAATATCGCTCATTTTATTAAATTAAAGCCCCAAAAAAGTGTTTCATGGCGTGTTTGATCTGCCAAACAGGCAAAGTTCCAGTTTCTTAGTCTCTTCAACAAGCTCATACTTGCTGTGATTAATTTATGCTCTTAGGAACGTACCAACTAGATCTAATAACTTGTAAAACAATTTCCAGCTAATTACCCTTTATCATGCATTTCAATTTGGCTAATGCAGTTTCTTGGTGGAAATAAGTTTCCAGGCTCAGCCACCAGCTGTTCCAGCGTGGATAAAAACAAATTTTGTAATGTGCAAAAGTATGCTCATCAATCACAAGAATAGACGAAAATTGCCTGAAATCTTGGAAAGATTAATATTTTTAAGTGTAATTGCTGTTCAGGCTCAATTAAATTAGAGTAGGGCAGACAACAAAACCATCTGGAATAAGAGTTTGCAATTTTTAACCCCTGGATTTTGCCTGGATCTTCAAATAAAACTGTCCAGAGTTGCGCTATGCCCGAACTTACCCGAGCTAATCAACAATATACTCGAAAGTTAATTACAAAGCGATTCGGTCCTAAAATGGCTTCATCGACAGAATGCCTAATTAGTTATTTTTCCTCTTAGAAAACTTTGCAGATCTGGAGTGGTTAGACCTAATTGATTTCGAAGCAAATTAGAGACGTCTTACAAGTTTCAGAAGTTCGGGCATCAGCAACTCACGGGAAAGTGGACGCGGATAAATTTTAAGCTAAAAATGATCTCGAAAGCAGCATTGTTTCAAAACTATTAGGGAAATACTTGAGAATTTTAGAAAGAGAGATTTTTTCGCTATCAAATTTATGGTTTGAAAATTTTTGTGGGTCTGGAAGATCCCATTAAAAGCAATTTAGAGTGCAGGAAATGGGTGTTTCGACCACATATTGTTTGAGCTCAGGTCGATTTATTCCGCTTCATAATTCAGAATTATGTTCTCAATTATCTTGTTCTTTTCATTCGGCTTGGAGTTAAAACTGAATTATTATCTCCCCTTTTTAATTCTTCATTTAGCCGACATTCCGCAACCCTGGCAAATAATGAAAACAAACATAATTGAGTAATCAGCATAAACTTCCAGTAAACTTTATATCCGAAAGATATTCCAATAAGCCGGTCTCCACAATCTTGGCCAATTTAGGTTCCGGACGCCGTTAACTTTATAATCGACTTTCAGAGAGAATTTGCACCGTTTCGGGTCAAATCTGTGAGCAATTTTCAATAGACCTTCCACAGTTATCTACTTTTCTCGACTTTTAAGCTTTAATGTAATTATCCAAGTTATTCAACGAAATTTTATGTTTGATAACCAGAGTTATTGGTTGAGAGACCAAAAAATTGGAAGTTAGTGAAAAACATCGCGCTTATTGATAGATATATGAAGAGCCACATATAATTACTAAAGATTTTCCCAGTAAAAACAATTTCGTTCCGATATGGCAAACGCTTCCTCTTGACGAAGTTTCTGATTAATGAAACAAATGGGAATGATGACATGGCATAAGGAGGGTCAGAATGACATTTATAGCAAGTAAAACTGAAGCTGTAAACCGCTTAATAGTCAAACCTGAGCAAAACGTTCGGAATTAATGCGAGTTTGTCGTTATGATTAATTATGAACGTTCCCGGAGATCTAATTTTGAGTTTCGAGTCGAATTCAGATGTTCGGAGGCTGAATTTCGCATAGATTAAGTCCAACTTATCGGCAATTCATTTAAACGGAAACAGCACGATGCTACGCCTCTACGAAACCATCGCACAAAGTGTAATTATGTATGGGATGTAAGCAAAAAAATAGGAAAAAACAGTTGGCCACAGAAATGGAATATTTAAGACGAAGAACAGATAGACAACAGCGCCATCATCAGATTTTAAAATTCATACAAATTCATAATTGGTAAACATTACATTCATTTAGGTCTTTGCTGTCTTGAAACCTTCAATTTGTTTTTGCATGCTAAATGAATGTAATGTTTACCAATTATGAGTTTGTATGAATTTTAAAATCTGATGATGGCGCTGTGGTCTCGCCGAAACGTTATGAAATAAACGATATACAAGTTTTTGTTTCACACTTTGACTGGAGCCCAGGAAAGAAAGTAATATAATAGAAAATTACATTATGGATGAGGTCGAAACGAAACAGTTAGTATGGTTGGACACACAAAAAGAATGGCTAAGCAAAATACTAAATTAAACTCCGACGGAAACGTGAAAGAAGGAAACACGAAGAAGAAACCGGAGAATTGACGTGGATGATCCAATGAAACCAAGGACCTTAAACGAAGGAATGAGTCACGAAAGAAAAGTGTGGACGAAAAAACGGCCGCCGTAGAAATCCGGACATTTTTCAAACGCACTTTTTTTGCTGGTATAAAAGTTTGATTAAATGAACCTGGACAAATCAAAATTGAAATCTATGCAATTTCAAATTTTACAAGAAGATTCAATTTACTTTTGTCTATGTATACAACATACAATTTGATTATTTGAATTTGAATCTATTATGAAACCGTATGTTTGAAGCTTTTTCATTTGTTGTTTGTGTGACATTACACAGTTTTTTATCTGTTGTTTCAAATAAATGCTCTGCTCGCAAAATAATATCAATACTGAGCAAGTTGTCATCATGTTTGAACTGGTGGAAGAACAGAAATATGATGTGATTTACAAGCAAGCAAAAAACGCCTTTGCTCTGGTATTCTGGAATTTCCATTACAAACGTTTTCTTTGAAATGCTGGCTCAAAGCTCAATGCTGCTGAAAACAGCAAACAAAGCTTTGGCTATTTTTTAGATTTCGATCATTAGACAAAAGAACTGGTCAAATTCCAATAAATAATTGCAACCTTGTGTGCCAAGTTCAAATAAATATTTCCTGAAGTAATCCATAGTAATTATCGGAATAAAATTCATGAACACTTAATGGGATTTGGCTTTCATGAAGTTATGTGGCAAAGGCCGCAAGTCAGAAAGCTCATAAACATCGCACAATAGAGCCAGAGTATATACGATATCATATTAGAAAATAGCAAGTTTATGTTGAGGGGTGACATAGAAGTAAGAGGATTTAAAAGCGGAAATGTTGAGCCTCGGTTTATGTTGACAATATACTTACGCCCACGTAGCTTTATCAGCCTCTAATCTTCGGACATTTCGTATTGCGTTTGTAGTTCTATTCATATTTAATGGCTCAGTTTCTGCGCATTTTAGAGGCAAACAATCAGAACCTGAAACAAAAGTTTGCAGTTTAAATACATTTATTTGCTTGTCATACATTACAAATTTGTGGTGCGGTGTACATAATGTTCTCAATTTATTTTGATTCTCTTGCAAATAAAAAATAATTTGGGAGCCACTTCGCAGTCTCCCCCGCAAGAATTTTTCGACAAGACTGTCTCATCAATTTAGGCATAAAAAAAACATCGGAACTACGGAAAGTTTACATTTTCCTTCACTGATTTTTTTTTGTCCTCTCGCACTTTATTGAATTCAGACATCACCCAATAACAATGCGGTTTTTTCAGGGGCGAATCCAGCTTTGAAGTCAAGGGGGGCTTCAGGTCAGCATAACAAGATAAGTGAGGAAATTCGGGCAATTTTGACCCAGAAAGCGAAATTAGAAAAGCATAAATTGAGCAGCGGCGGATCCACTTATGTAGTAGAAATTCTGGTTTTTGTTATCCCTTTTGGATCCGCCCTTGGTTTTAGTCTTTCTGCAAACAACGAGATTAGTTTAAAAGCTTGAATCGATCTGATTTTTCCAATACTCAGAATATGATTGGTTTCCGAACTTGCACCGACTGGCAATCGTAAATTCGATTTGTTAAACTCGAGAGATACGCGAAACTTAAAGCAATTTTGGTTAAGAATAATGGCTTTTTCTCGAAATTTATTTAACCATGGATACTGTTCGCATAACCAGCTGATTGCTGGATTATTTGTCTTATCCAGAAAATGTTGGAGGTATAACTCTTTCATCATAACTAAACTTCCAGATAACCAGAATATACCGATAAAACTAATAAAAATGACAAAATATGCAAAGAACTTTCACGATTTCCTAAACTATTAAGTTTAGTTGCAAATGGTAATGGACTTGGTAAAAAGTTACGAAAGTGTTATGGCAATTAATTCTTGAACAAGTCTCTTATTCGGCTGCTTTTGCCAATTTCCCATGCAATTTTTGTTAAAAACTTCATCTTTAATTCAAAATATTTGTAAACGTGACTGCCGCTCTATGAGCTCCCTCAACATTTTAGATTAGTTTACCGTCGCTAATAAGGTTTGCACAACTGTCTTCCAAATCTCATTACAGCGCCAAATTTCCGCACGAAATACAAAGCAAACTGCATAGCAAATAATGCAAATTTCAATCAATTTTAAGCAGTATCTAGTAATCAGACATGGCAATTCGTCATTCAATTTAATGCATCAAATAAAGCAATAAAGCGAGCCTCCATCCTACAACAGAGTGATTAAGAGCTGCGTTTAAGAAAGCGCCATCGAGAAACTAGTCTGGAAAATAAAAG